CACTGTATTTTAACCAGGAATCGAAGATGAAATTAAAGATTTTGTCCTGTAAATGAACCCATATCCCTGTTTTGGTCATTCAAGCCGTCATGTTTCTATTGGCTCTTCACCCGGGCCATACCCATTAAAATAGGGGTGGAGGGGTGATATTCGGGATGCCATCTTGGAACGTAATGTGGCAGCTTGACCGTTGCAAAAAAACATTTTCCATCTGGCTTTAAGAAAGAATAATAGTTTATAATAAACGTTGTGTTTTTAAGGATTTCTTATAGATTTGTTCTTTGCAAAGCTAAGTGTTCAGTTTCAGATGTTGGATTATGGCACACGTAGTGTCGTAGTACAGTCTCAGGGAGTCTGTCAGTAGAATTAATGTTGCTGTTAACGTTATTAATAGCAAACTAGTTAGAAAGACCGGGTGCAAGTAAAGGCATGTTTACAAACCTAGCAACTAGTAAGCCAGGTAGCGTATGTTAAAGTACTTTAACAGTATTGAAAATTGATTATCTGCATGTTTGGATTGACATTTCGAGGAGTTAACTTGTTTTTTTTTTTTAATGTGAGGGGTGTTTAACTCTTTCTGCACTACAACCACACCAGGAGTTTATTGCTCACTTCATTAACTTCATACAAAGCATTTTCCTGAACCTTTTTGTTGTTAATTCAGACAGCCGTTCTTTGGACTGGGATAGATAAATCAAAACCAGTTACTATTTTGGATAGTAGGAGTCAGAATGAAGTATGAATTATTAAATTGGTATTATGTAAGGACTGTACGCCTATGCATGGGCATGGGACAGGCAAGCTGCTTGGAAAGTTACCTCTGCAATCCAGCAGGCGGTAGAAGCAACCAACATCACATAATTGTAGCAAATTTCTAATTGGAATTGGCTACTTACACTTCATTTGATTTGCCTGTTCCTGGTTGACAAATGACTCTTCAATCTTGCAGAGAACTTTTACAACACAAGGTAATTTATTTTCCTTCATTTCAAAGTCTACTGCTAGTATCACTGCTAGAAATGGGTTGCATTAGGGTCCCTCTGTACTCTGCAAGGCACCAACCTTTTAATAGCCTAATCAAAGTCAAAGACCAGGTTTTTTTTTCTAGAAGTATGCAATAGTATGCAGTACCGGCACTTTTTTTAAGTCATCATTTTGTTTGACTGCTATTCTAGTAGTACTAGTACACTTTTTTTTTGTAAGTACTGTTTTTGGTGAGTACTGGCACCCTTTTAGACACTTAATCATATCGCACTTAACCTCCGTAACCTGGATCTACACGGGTCATGCGGGCGTAAAGGGAAATGAGCGAGCGGACCAACTGGCAAGCACTGCACTAATGATTGCAGGAAAAAGCATGGATAGAGCAGATATCGTCAACGCTGCACGAACTGGGCTAGTGGAGAATGAGGAATCCCTGACGCTAACACGATTGCGTGACATGGGAGTTAAGCATGGTGATGCACGTCTTTACCGTCTTCGGGGCCGAGAAAGGAGACGATATAACTGGCTTCTCATGGGGATAATTATTAGAAGTACTTTGGAGTGGCTGCTGCTTCGGAGAACTGAGCACGCATGGGTATGCCCAATGTGCAGTGACATCAAGTGTGATAACAAAACATAAAATAACATCTTGTAGGGAGTCGGCAGTCCGAAACCCAAGTTCAAGGTGTCTCCTTCGTGCCAAAGAACTGCATGGCTGTTATGTGATCTGTCGTTAACGAAGGCAGGCAGGTCGTTGTAGGGGCGACGCCTGCTGGTGGATGTAATGTCCTAAGTTCATTCCCCAGCTAATAATAAGGGTACTGCTGGGGTGACCGTTTATTAACCTCATAGTTTCAGGTCAAAATGGACGCTAGGCACGGCCACCTTTTTTTTTCTTTTTTTCTGCCAGACGGTGGCCATTGCATTTTTGCTCCATTTGTAGACTAGAAGGATATAGTTTCGTCGCCTAGCTTCTGAGTTGAGTGCATGGCGTGACACTGTGAGCTACATGTGTTTTTCGTTGGCACAGGAGCGGAGCAACTATGGGGTGACCCGTTTGCTATGAAACTGAAACTAGGATTACCAGATTACCCTTTTAGACACTTTTTCCTGAATACCGGCACCTTTTCTCTTGAAGACAAAAGCCCTGAATAAGACACATATTTTGAGTGCATAAAATGTGCGAGTGAGTGTTTTATCTGAGAAGCAAGGAACCAACAGTCTGCTAGTAAATAAACTAGATCTGTAAAATGGATCTACATGCAAAGCATAAGTTCTGTTTAAAAAAAGTCTAGAGGTGGCCGAACAACCAGAGTTTATAGCCAGTGAATACGAAGAAGTAGAATATATAGCCTTTATGAATTCTCTTTCTTATTTCAGTTGACCCAAAGAAAAAATATCAGTAAATACAGACCCATGTCCACACCTTGAAGCCATCTGTATATGTTATGTTAGTTCCATATTTTAATAGGCCACTCCGTGGGTTATATGGTCGATATCAAGCTGGCCATCTTGGTTTTTCTAACATTTCCTTACTTGTCCTTAGCGCTGCTTTGTTTAAAACAACTGTTCTCAGTGGGGATTTAAACTTACGACCATTGGGTTGGCAGTCAAGTATTCTAGCACTGGACTACCAAGGCTGCCTTTTGTTGATGTGGCAATCGTCATAATTGTTCCCTTGCTATAGACCTCCCCCCCCCCCCCCCCCCCCCCCCGGAAATCTGCTTTCCCTCTTTTCAGCTTTTTTGTGTGTGTGTGAGAAATACTTCATAATTCTTCCAGGAGAAGATCCTTTGCTACCTTGGTTATAAAAGTATGTTGCTCTATTTTGTTATACAGTTGAACATATCTCAGAGTTACACTGGTCACAAGAAAAAATTGAACCCTGCCACCATTGGTGATTCAACTTTTGACTTAGACCGCTGTTTGTGTTGACAGGGCAATAAAGAAAGATACATGTATTGATTGGCACTTATAGAAAGAAGTAGAAAGATAGAAGGTCACTCTTCTTCTTCTTTAACCCCCATGGGACCCTCAAACAACTCACACCAAGTCGTTCTATTCTTCGCTATTGCGGGAAGCTCTCCCTATGACCTTCCCATCTTTTAACTTTACTTTCTAGCTCCCTTCTCCATATGTTTTTTGGGAATGTTTTATTTCCCCTAATAGTTCCATTGTTCTTCCTTAATCGTAGAAAATTCTAACATTCCAGTTGCTAATTCCTGAGATTTTCCTAGATGAAAGGAGTTAAGTCGACGTTTGGATCCCTTTCGGCTTTCTCAGCACCATGTCATACTTCTTCTATTAGAAAAGCCTCCCCTAATTTTGTTTGTCACGGTTTTTTTTGTTTCTCTTTTGGACGTTTCTGTGATTGATTGATTTTTGTGGCTGTTGTTTTTAATAGGATGAGGTAGCCAACCCCAAGCTCAACCCTACCCTTAGTTGTCTCTTTCACATGCATGGTAGGGTGCATATTGGCCCCTTTGACACATTTGTGGAAGGACACACTAGACAACACAAAGTTTAAAGCTATACATTGTTATGTTGTCTAGTATGTGCTTCTATCTTTCTACTTCTTTCTATAAATGCTGATTGGTACATGTCTGTTTGTTTATATAATGTTTTGGCAGGGAGTCACATGCTTGCTTGATAACCTGCTATTTTATGTTTGAATACACATGTAGACAGACTTTTTTTTAGTGATTTTTTGGCTGCCTATGTCCGGCATGCTCAATGTGGGTAGCAGGAAATGGACCAGGAAGTAAGAGCAAGTGATGTGAAATAAGACCACACCAATAATCAACTGTCACTTGATCTATACAAATATGGGACACCAACATGATTGCATGATCTGGGAGGAAAGCATGGTGAAGCATGTCTGTGCCTCTTCGGAGGCTGAAATAAGAAACATTATATTATAACCAAGTCCTCTCTTGAAAACAAGTAGAGGTACCTTGGAGAGACTGCTGCATCTGTGGCCTGAGCATGCATGAGAATGCCTAGTGTGCATTGACGTTGATTGTGATAACATAACATAGCCATATAATAGCCGTATGCCTATGATGCTTCACAATGTGGAAACAGGTCCTTTACTTCATTTTTTTAAAGACCATACACTCGGTAAACAATTAATAAACAAGCCACCCTATTTTCTTAAGGCCTCGGAGATGTAGTTTTACAGAAGAAAGAATTCCTTGGACAACAAAAAAGAGCAACCCAGATGTCTTGAAAGAGGCAAGGGCTCAAAGACAAACTTATCTCATACACTAGAAAGAGACAGTCATCATTTTTTGATAATGGTATGAAAAGAAGAAAACTGGCAACATTTTGTTACCAGTAAAAAGATCTGTAGAAAAAAAAGAGACTGAGGAAGACAGTTTGAGACAATTTTTGACAGTCTTTTATCATGGTAGGGATAGATATTGTTTGTTTTAGTTAAGCACTACTATTATGGATATCAAGTCATTGTTACATATGTGGCTTTTTGAAACCCGGACCACAGTTCGTACTGTATGTTTTAGCCCCTATAGAGAGTTACCGCACATACTTAAAAATATTTTAGTTTTTTATTGTTTATGTTACTAAATTTTTTATTCAGTAAAAATTCAGTATTGTATGTTACTACTATATGTTTTTATTCTTTCATGAATGTTCAGTAAGTAACATATATTTAATTACCTTTTCCTGTTGTAATTTTTTTCAGATGGCCGGAATTCTTGACATTTGCACTTTAGCGCAGTCGGACATGCAGTGGGAGGACATTGTAACAATAAATCTTGAGGATTAGGCCAGCTTTTCTCTAGATGAACCACAGATTGAATCTAGAAATTATGATCTCGCTTACTTAAATATGCAGATCAATGACGAGACTACAGTTAATGTTGAAATTTCCGACAACCAGTTAAATCACGACTTTCAAGAGGTTAAAGTAGAGAATATCGTGGAAGATGCAAATGTAGAAAAAACTCTAAACTTCTGACATTGAGATCAGTGAAGACTTTCAAGAATTCAAAGGAATGAATGTCATGGAGAATGAAAATTTAAACCAGGCTGTGGTGACAGTTGATAAGGATTCTTTAGACAGCAAGATAAATGAGGATTTGCAGCAGTTCACAGGAACAAATATGACGGAAGACACAAATTTAAGACAGGCTGTGGTGACAGTTGATAAGGATTCTTTAGACAGCAAGATAAATGAGGATTTGCAGCAGTTCACAGGAACAAATATGACGGAAGACACCAATTTAAGACAGGCTCTAGTAGCAGCTTTGAGCAGGGGTATTTGTAAAGACATCTGTGAGTTTAATCGTAAACAGAAGAGCTTACATAATAATGTACAAGGGTCACCAGTTGACAATCAGGCATATACAAATGGATCAGTAGGGTGTGAGCCAGATGCAAGAGCTGATGCCAGAGAAAGGTTGTATCCATTAGCCAAAGTTAAGACTGAAGGAAGTTCATTTCTATTTGCTAAAGTTAAGACTGAAGGAAGTTCATTTCCATTTACACACATTAAAACTGAGCATGACACATCGGATACAGACACAGCTTATTCATCAGAAATAGAAACCACTTTGGAATCACAGGTAGAGCTTCAGCCTTACAATGATTTAGGTGCACGGAATACTGGGTCATCACTGTCAGTTATTAAGAAAGTAAGTTGTCTTTGCATTTGCAGAGTTGCAAATGGTATCTCCTAACATTTGTCATGATTGTCATTATCTTACCCTGACCACTAGAATATGTCTTGTGTTTTGAAAAAGGTGTGGGCCTGAAAACAGCCTATCATAAACACAGATGTGAAGTTAATATTGCAGCTAGAGATAATTCACCAGCACGTTGCATGAATATACGATACAACAAATACGAACAAGAATACACAAAATCACTTAACTGAAGTAACTCCAAGAGAAATCACATATGTGTCTTGCCAGTTGAATCTCTGACATGTGTCGTCATTTATCTTACCTTTACCACTAGCATATATATTGTACTTTGAAAAAGGCAAATATCCAAAGACAACCTGTCACAATATCAGAAAGAGGCAGTCATAACTTTTTTGGTATTTTGTGAGAAAAAGACAGAAACGTGTGACAACAAAAAAGTTTTATGAAAAATTGAATACAATAATTGAATCAGACAAACAAGCAAAAGTGTCCAATAAAAGCTTTTACAAAATGAGAAAAGAAAGGGCAAAAAGATTCTTGGTAGTCTCTTGTGGTGACATAGAATGGTGTAAGAACATGAACTTTATCTTTTGTTCGCCTGAAATAAGTTGTCTATATCAGCAATTTTGTCTCTCATGTAAATGTCACTGTAATTTGTAATTCATTCAGTGGTCCATAGAGTTAATGTTCCACTGTTGTTCTTTCTGACCAAAAGGTTTGCCTTAATGTGTCATGTTCGGTGCAGTCCTGGAGTACATGTTCTGCTGTCTGGGGCAACTTTCAACAAGTGCACATGGCTGATACGCCTATCTTGAATTTTTGTGTACATGTTGTTGTGTGATCTGTGTGCCCTGTTCTGGTGGCAAAGGATACAAATTGAGCATGTGAACTAATATTACATTTACAATATTCTTCTTGTCCATCCAGTACATTCACAATATTTTTCTTGTCCACCCAGTACATTCACAATATTTTTCTTGTCCACCCAGTACATTCACAATATTTTTCTTCTCCACCCAGTACATTCACAATATTCTTCTTGTCCACCCAGTACATTCACAATATTCTTCTGGTCCACACAGCACATTCACAATATTCTTCTTGTCCACCCAGTACATTCACAATATTCTTCTTGTCCACCCAGTACATTCACAATATTCTTCTGGTCCACACAGTACATTCACAATATTCTTCTTGTCCACCCAGTACATTCACAATATTCTTCTGGTCCACACAGCACATTCACAATATTCTTCTGGTCCACACAGTACATTCACAATATTCTTCTTGTCCACCCAGTACATTCACAATATTCTTCTGGTCCACCCAGTACATTCACAATATTCTTCTTGTCCACCCAGTACATTCACAATATTCTTCTGGTCCACCCAGTACATTCACAATATTCTTCTTGTCCACCCAGTACATTCACAATATTCTTCTGGTCCACCCAGTACATTCACAATATTCTTGTGGTCCACCCAGTACATTCACAATATTCTTCTTGTCCACCCAGCACATTCACAATATTCTTCTTGTCCACCCAGTACATTCACAATATTCTTCTTGTCCACCCAGCACATTCACAATATTCTTCTTGTCCACCCAGTACATTCACAATATTCTTCTTGTCCACCCAGTACATTCACAATATTCTTCTTGTCCACCCAGTACATTCACAATATTCTTCTTGTCCACCCATGATATTTGCAAAAAATGTCTTCTCCACCAAGGATATGCAATATTCTTTTTGTCCATCCAGTATATTCGCACAATTTTGCGGGTGGGGGCCTATTTTGAATTTGAAATATTTATTAATTTATAAAATGTTAATTTCAAATATATTATAAGGTATAATTTACTAGCAAACGAGGAGATCATAGGACATAGTTCATAGTGTAGTATTGTTTTTCCTTCTTACCATAAAAAACACAACATGTTGAACATAAATCCAAAGAGAATCACATAAAGAACTTATTAAATCTGGTCCAAGAAAACACCACTTATATGTGAATCAAAAGTGAAGGTAAAATCACTTATTAATTTTATGCAATGTGACAACAAAAATAAATCTAAACACATATGAAACATACACACAGTCATTTTGCGTCAAATTGAGGAAAAGATGTCACCAAATTTGCCTTGAGACCCTTCTCCAGTCGGTCATGTCCATACTTCTTTCTGTTGGAAAAAAAAATAACAGAAGGCATGATACCAGGAAAGAGGAGCACAGAACAACCAGCAAGAAGATGGGCAGGGGATATAAGTGACACCCTAGATAGGAAAGTGCACAAAACAGATGCGCTGGCAAGGGGCAGAGATTCTTTCAGGTAGACCCTGACATTCTTTCTGCAGAGTACCTGCTGCATGGTATTTATTTATATTGTCTTAAGATGGTCATGTAATTTTTATAGTTTGGCGAAGTTATGTTCACATAGTTCGATAGTCAACCAATACCCTACTATATTTGTCTTTGTTGCAGACATTGTGATACTACTTTTGTAGCTCTTTTATCTCTCCATATATCATTTTTGTTCCCAACAGAATAATTGGTTAAAATATGTAAGGGGAAGAGGATAATGTCAGATTAGAAATCTCACATATGAAGTGTTAACATTTAAATGAACCATATTCCTTGCAGGAACTAGGGGCAGATAATGCTGAAACTCATCCTGATCAGCCTATCAGAAGTGGGCTGCAGTTAAACAATATCAAGATGTGCAGTGTATTGTTGAGCCATCAAAATACACCTTTAGTCGCAGGTACATGTTTGACGTTGAGTCGTTCAAGTAATTATTTGCACAATATTGCTCATTGATCTTGTTTTACACGCGCCAGTCGGCAAGACACTTGGTGATGGTGATGAATATGTGCCTGGGCTTGATGGGGTAAAATTAATAACATTATTAGTAAGAAGGAGTCAAAGTTAAAATTGAGATAAAGGGATTAAGTGTTTTGACGCAGTTTTGAGAAAAGTAAGTAATAGAATAGAGAGAATTTAATGGTAAGGCAGAGTCACTATTGCAAAGATATTTGGGCTAAATATAATCATGCCTACCTTCAAAGTTGAAATGCATTTGCCTGAGAGACAAGGAACCAGCAGTGTGCTTACATATAGGTCAGATCTGTAAAATGGATGTGCATGCAAAACTCAAGTTTTGCATCAAGATCAAGGTCCAGAAATGGACGAACAACTAGAACCAGCGAACAAGAAGAAGATAACCGTACGCACTATTTGCTATATCGCCTCTCTAGAGAGGGACACTGTGTTATATTCACAATATTCAAGGCACAACAGACTTAGCCTACATATGTTCGAACTTCTCCATGGTAGGAAACACAGAGACGAGTCCCTGCAGCTTGGCCCCAGAAAAATGCTGAGCATGTACAGCTCCAATACTGTCGACTGTATGCTCCCAACTGATATGCCCTCTGCTCTGTTCCAATCACAATGAAGACTAAGCTGTATAGTACACAAGGAGATATGGACTGCACTATAGCTGACATAAAGGCTACCGGCGGCCTCCTGATGTAGGTTTTTTCACAGAAGGATTGAAGAAAAAGAAAATACCCACTATATCTACAATTTGTGCAGTTGCATCCAGTGTCAGAGGTGTCATACAGGCATCCAAAGAAATGTCAACCAAAAATGAAAATCAGCTTTCTCTGGTGGAAGATTTTAAAAGCCAAGCGTCTGAGAAAAACACACTAAATGCATTTTACGATGATAACAGTTATCCAGTCCTTAAATCCTACGCTGTTATTGTGGACAGTTTTTTTGTACTGAGCAAGTCTTGCTAGTTACACTCACCACCGCAGTAGGCTGTGAATCCTTTGCCTCCTTGTAGCACAAAATAACACTTGCATAGAAAGACAGAAAGGTTCCGGCGTTTGTCTCAAAACTGTTTTTAGGTTTGAACAACAGATCAACATCATGTCACATGGGTAGTAACCCATAAGTGCTAAATTCTTCTTCTAACTCAAGTCTGAATCCAAAGAAGCTCAGCACAGTGTACAGGCTCTGTAGCACCAGCGAGGATCCTGAAATACTTCGGGTAGCTTTTTAACTCCAAATTTTTGCCCGGGCAGCGCCGTTGGGCTACTCTTTTGTTGAGTTGAGTTTTAAGAACTGTCATCATAGCACTTACAACATTCACATTAGTACTCAGACACCATCTTCAGCAGCCAGCGAGCGTTTCAACTCTGTTAGTCCCGGGAGCAGTCTGATTGTATGTCAGCCTTGTCTATCCTATGGATGTTGAGGGCTGGCCAGATCCCCTGGTCACTGCCTGTTGCACCATTTTCTTCAGACTCTGTTGATCTAATTGTTCATCCGCACTGTTCACTCACTCCCAAAGGGCCCTAACAACATCTAATTTGAAATGCATCCGTTTTCCATAGAGTAATGCAGAACCAACCACTCTGTCTCTCTGTTCATTTCTCAACACGCCTGCATCACCTGGAGAAAATGTCCAGAGGATACTAACTACCCTGGACTTAAGATATAGCATAATTTTAAAGAATTTATATTGGATACTCTGCACCATACAATTTTCAATATCTTGATCTCGCATGGCTCAGATCCTTACCCTGTCACTCGGGTCAAGTCTATACCTGCTAGAAACACATCTCTGAAGAATTTTAAGCATACAAAAGGGACATCTGCCAAGGAAAAGGCATCAGCCAAAAAGGTGAGTCAAACATCATCTCTTAGTTCTTCTTCTTTAGCATTTGCTTTACAAGGCTGAATACAGCTAGGTTGCGATGTATGTGCTTTTTGGCTCAACACATTCGATTGTAGGAAACTCCTAATTAGTGGCCTTTTAATACGTGCTTTTTAAAGGGCAGTGAGTCTCTACCCCCTTTCCATCTTTTGCCCAGATACCCACATAGGGATTGGCTGTTACTGAAATTAGAAACATAGGCCCTCCTCCCAAAAAAAAATCAAGAATAAAAAAAAAATTAATGCAGACATGTAAAATTTGGTTAATTGTATATCTTTCTCTTCCAGACGTAAAATAAAGTCCCCTTAATCATGTCCCCTTTAAATCAGCCTCATCATTGGCTATAATACAATTTTCCTAGCATTATTACATTTGATAGTTTGCCATTTCTTTCTGAAAGTTTGACAACCATACTATTGTCAGAATCAGTGGAAAGCTGTCTGTTGCCAAATCATCTGCAACTGACTTCAGCTTTGGCATTCAGGATTGTGAAACTGTGCTCGTAACCCACAGACACTGATGTTAAATGAGAAAAACAACTGAAATTACATCAAGAGAGAATGAGATATTATTAAGTGTGACAAAAATAAATGTAAATTATTTCATTTACATAACACCTAGAAAGAAAATCAAGTAGTTAAGTTAGTAAAGTAAAGATCTTTTTTTCCCCACACCTTCAGGCATTCTGGGCACATAAGGCTAGGCCCCCTTGCTTTTAAACCGATCTGCATTCAGTGGGTAATAGGATCAACATCAGACTTTACTTCCTAGGACTATACCTGGTACCCATTGAAGTCCATATAGTCTAGTAACATTTTTAAATTTACAGCTCCAATATGTAGTGATTACATATGAATAACTTGTTTAAAATTATTATTATGTTTTTTTAATTTATCCATCTACACTTGATAAAATTTTTTTTTTCTTTTAGATGCAGAAAAATGCGGCGTCCAAGATTGTCAACATACAGAAACATTGCCTTGTGTGTAATGCCCCTTGTCTCATTACTGAAAATAAAAAATTACCCATACTGCCCTTTTGCGGAAAATGTAAAAGAGCGTATGCTTACCAGCGGTCTCGTCGCTATGTGAGCAACACATCCATTTGTCGTTCTAGAGGTGTGTAAATTGTTTCATCTTATGTAAGTTTTCATTTGGCTTGTGATGTCGTTGCAGTTTATTTTTATTATGCTTCCTAGTGGTCAGCTTTTTTCTGACAAGTACTGCATTGAGGATAGCCATAATAGGGCACAGGCTAGAGCACTTGTCCTTTGACCCATGACCCAGAGGCCATGCAAATTGGCATGGGCTTCGCTGTCAACCCTAGATGAAATTGAAGATTGGTAACTTTGCTTATGTGGACAAGCACCTCAATATACCGAACAAATACCGTAGATAAGTTCTCAACATAAAACAGAAGCAAAGCCAAAAACCCATTAAAAACGCCAGTAAACCATCAGCAGGAACTCAGCCAGTCAGTGGCAAGCTCAAACCCGAATGAACGATGAGCCTTTTTAAGGGCCAGTCAGCGGACCAGCAGCCCAGCAAAAAAGAAAACTCACCAGGCTCTGAAGTGTCAGCCTCGTAGACCTGAAAAAACAGCACAGACACCGGTGGAGTGTGTTTAGTAGAAATACGTAGAAATTCAGGCGTGACAATACGCCGCGAATGAAAAACTGAAAATCAAACCAAACAAAGAATGAATACCGATTACCAATTACCCAGGGAGTTCACAGGCCTCGCCAGTTAGCATTCCAGTGGAAACCATTTTTTTTTTTTTGGGAGAGGGGGGGGGGGGGGGGGGGTTCAGGGAGGCCATTTGTCATACCACAGCTTTGAAAGTGTCTTTTTATCTTAATCCCTCTAGCGAGGAGAATAAAAAAATATAAAAAAAGACTGGTACTTTTACTTTTGTTCATCCCATCTGAGCGACTCTGAGATTTTGTGGGAAGTTCCCGGGAAAGTCCAGTAGTATAGGGGTGTAGGGTGTGAAAGGAACACCGACTAATACTAACCCTAACAATGGACTTTCTCAGGACCAACACACGCACGCGCGCGCACACACACACACACACACAAGTTCCAGAAGACTTTATCATGACTTATTACAGTAAATACTTTGTAAAATGTGTCATGTCTTGTATTTTGATATGTCTTATGCAGGAGCATGCAGAATTGACTACAGACAAGAGAAATTCTGTCCCCGATGCCACTATACGAAATTCCTAGCAGTACTGTCTGCTGCTCAGAGGGTTTTTAAGGAGCCTTTTCAGGTAGGTCACATGCCAGGTTGTCCAGTGATTCTGGTTGTTGCTTGATTCCCTGAAATGTGGGGCTAACACTTTTGTGCATTTCACATCCTCTGTTGTTTTATCGGTAGCTGTGACTTAGACATTGTGAACATGGTTTGAAAGGCAGAGATACCCAGCTCAGTTCCATCTGTAGGTGATTTGGCAGCAGACCACTTGACATTAATTTTGACAATGGCTGACTGTTCAGAAAGCAATGGCAAACACATCATCATGAAGCAGGTGTTTTTTAGAACATCGCTGTCATCACAGCCTGCCCAATATGTTGTCTACTCTCTCTCCTTCTGTCTGTGCTTCTTTCAGTGAGTTCTACACTCATGTTAAATTTTTTATTTTAGTCCCTGTATCTTCTTATGTAAGATGAAAAATCAAAACAGCAGAAAGAAAATGTCTACAATGAATCCTAAATGTAAATAGAACAGACAGAATCAGAAATACTGATATCAAGAAACAAACTGGAAAGTACTAAACTACATCAAGAGATCACAAATCAAATGGTCAGGACTGCCACCAGATAGTGTATCACAGAGCACACTGTCACTTAGACATAAGGAAAGCAGAGCTAGAGCTTGACCTGGCAAGTGATGGATAGGTGGAATACTCCAGGCGGTAAACACCAGCTTCAATGTTTTATACACCTGATGCTTTTTTTCAAAACTTGATACTAAAAGGCAGAACAGAACTAGAGAAGAAGGTATGAGTTATCAGTTTCGGTGCTGACCTGATAGCTTCTTCTGCCTTTCTAGCTCCCAGTGGAGCATAGGCCCTCAACCAACTCATGCCAGGTCGTTTTATCCTTCGCTGTCGCATGCAGCTCTCCTCGTGTCCCCATGATTTTACTCTAGCTTCCTTCTCCATGTATTTATTGGTCTTCCTTTATTTCAAATTGCAATATACCTTAATTTTTTGCCCAAGCAGCACACCATATCATCATCATGTAAAAGGACTCTTTTTCATGTCTTTAGACATATAGGGCTAGACCAATCAGCACTTGGTGGGTGATGTGGTCGGCCTCACGTCATTCACCTGTTATTTCCCATGATGCTACCTGTTACCCACTCAAGACTGGGTTGACCTCAGAGTCAAGGTCATTTTTTTGTAAAAAGTCTGGCACCTTCAGGACCCGACCCCATGAACCTCCAGTCTGCAGGTGAATGTCTAGCTGCTACACCACAGCTACTCCCCATCACCATCCAGCAGGTCCTTTACAGAACATAGCTGCCAGCACAGCCCACCTGAAAGAAACTCAGTCTCTCACTAGCTAGTTTGCTTAATGTACTGTTCTTTTATAGAATGTTTTGCTCATCTTTGTGTTGTGTGCTAACTACTGTACATCATAGTTTATACAATTGCTTATATGTTATATTTTTGTTTTTAGTAGCAATATTTTATACTAGCTTTTCTTCTTCTTTGCGTTGAGTGTCTGTAAACTCCGGTGGAAAGTTCTTGTTGTTTGTCCACCTCTGGACTTTAGTCTTGTTCCAGAAGCTGTTGCATGCACATCCGCTAAACAGATCTGACCTAATTGTATGCAGTTTGTTGGTTCCTTGCCTTTCAGACAAATGCACTCTGACTTCGAAGGATGCCCCCGATTAGTCGACTCTTACAACATGCTTGTTGAAAATCTTGTTTTGGTCACAATGAGGTCCCGGAACCCACAAGGGAATACTAGCTTTTACATGTTATAGTTTTTGTAGTTGCAATACTTTTTCATATTTTTTTTTGTTATTCTTCACATATTTTATTGTTTACTTGTATTCAGTACAATAAGTGATTTCGTTTGTTGAATATCTATAACTAGGGGATTTTCTTTTACATGAGATGTATTTGTGTACTTATTATGTTGTCAGCAACAAATCTGCAGGCGGTACAGTAGCAAGGAAGCCTCTAAACAGAAGACACATGACTGGTCCATCATTAGAGATGAGATCCTGCTGCAAGAGGCCCTCATTTTTCAACCGAGAGTTCTGGTAAGTTGTTTTCAAAAATTTTGTGCCACTGCCATTCACAGCCAAATAATTGTGCCTTTGAAATTATGTTTTAACAAGGGATTTGCATATTACTTTCTCATACGAATTTAAAAGAATTGTGATAGTTACTACACAAACTGTTCGACATGACCACCCTCTTTTCATCATAGAGTCAAAGCATTTGGTGCAGCCGAAACTGCAGTAGTAGTTCAATAAAGATGAACCCGAATAGATCAAAAAAAATATTTCTCCGGTTAAAGTGGCCCAGATTCTGTTCCCACACTGTGAAAAAAAAAAAAAAAGAAGCACCATCTAAGCATCCTTAAAACCTGCTGTACCATTTGCAGATAGTTACTATACAAACTGTTCAACATAACACTGCTGCCTTCATCATGGAGTCTTTTGAAGCAGCCGAAACTGCAGTAGCAGTTAAATATAGACAAACCAGAAGAGATCAATAAAATGATTTCTCCAGTTGATGTGGAGATTCTGTTCCTACATTGCAAAAAAAAAACCACATTTAATACCATCTTTGAACCCAGAAGCATAAAACCTACTATACCACTAGCAAAAAAACAGATTGGCATTGGTCACTTGTGAATGCTGAACAACAACTAATTACTGATATTTGAACACTTCATCAATATGTATTTTAACATTTATAGAAATTATGTCTGTAAAATAATTTG